TTTACAATTATTATGCTAAAATTATTTATATTAATTATTTAGATTTGCGTTCATCTTTCAGAATCTGAAGATCACATTACACAACAGTGAAAACTTCAATTATTAATTATTTTCTTTTCTAATCTAAATTATGAATTTTAATTAAGGATGTACTGGGTGGTGTGGTTTGCAGTAAATGACGGTATTGGAACCAATTGTCAATCACGTTAAAGTTGAGACATAATAAGTGTTTCTGGAATTATTTATTAATTACTAGTAATTACCATCCATCTATCAATGGCAGCATTTGGTTCAAACTGTCCTACATCTGAAACTTGAAGTTTGACAGTCATGCAATCTTCGAGATGTTCATTGCTCAATCTGTGCCTCCTATCTGTTTTGGTCAACTTCATCTGATTGAATGCTGTCTCATTATACACTGAAGTGGGGGAAAGGGGGGGGGGGGGTAAACTGTTAACTAAATCAATGAGTCCAAGAATGTTACCAACTCCCATAATGATGCAAATCTGTTAATGTCAGCCCATGTCACGGTCAAGTCAGGAAATCTGGAATAAATAATAAGTAAAACAGAAATGACAGGGGTATATTAGCTAATATAATGTAAAAGTCATAACTGTCACTACCTCAGCCTGGAGTTATTCTATCAATAAATCATAAAATTGAGAATGGAAATGGGGAATATGTCAAAGAGACAACAACCCGACCAAAAAGCAGACAACAGCTATGAATGCTTGACTGACAATTTCAAATCAAATTTTACTGACCTTCTAGGTTTTATATTTCAACTCTGACAGTAAAGGCTCTGTATCAATGGCTTGATTTTCTAAAACATCTTTGAATCTAGCACCAAGCTTGTCTACATGTTCATTACCAAAATCTAAAAAATAAGATAAATAAATAATACAACTTACAAGAACGGAGAAAACAAGTTATAGTAAAGGGAACAAGTTTTGAATTTTCTCCCTGGTAACCATACATGTACATATCAATTTTTGACAACCAAAAAGAAAATTAAGAAGATGCAAGGTGAACATTCAGCAATGATTGTCAAGGTTCATGTAAATGTGACTGTCTTAAACTATACCTGAAAAACATCATTTTCTATGTCAACCATGACAATTTTGATTGAAAATGACTGAATTAATAAATTAAATTTTAACAAAATTTGTTGCATTCATTTAAATATTTCAAAGTTATTGAAAAGGAAGGCTAACAATCATTCAGTTCTGCAGGCCATGATTTAAAACTGGCAATGACTATTGACTGTAATTCTTCAGCTAAACCGTTTCCAAATCTTACATCAATGGCAGACTGGATCCCCTCAATTATTCGTTTTTTGCTGGTGGTTACTGCTCCCTTTGCTGACAATCTGAACCCCATGAACTCCTTCTGTGCAACCATATCTTCTACTATGTCATATTTTGCTAAACAATAACAAACCTATCACAAAACAGTGTTAGGGCATCATATGTACACGTTATCATCATATTGGCTTCTCCTAAGGTGATATCTGCAAAATAAATAAAATTCATAATCTGTAATCAAAATAATCAATATCATGACAATAATATATATACATTACAAATGATTGATTAAGATTATGATTCAGATTGATTGATTGATTGTTGACAGTTATTACAGATTTTTTAACTTAACTAAATTTCTAATTTTACTAAAATAATCAATAATTACATATAATATCTGTGCAAAACACACAATGTTGAGACTGCTTAGAATTTTGGCCAAACCCTCTGCCTTGGCATTGGAATGTGACTGGTTTTGCAGGTGAGACAAGTATGCAGGAAAACTCTTAAACAGGGTTTCAATGGCCCTTTTCGTGTGTGGCATCCATCTTGATCCACCTATTCTTTGTGGGAGGCCACCTTTTATTGAAACCACCTTAAAAAAACAACATCATACATGTAATGCATTATTTATCACTTAATTTAAAAATCAACAAATGAAAAAGAAAAAAAGCAAAGAATGTTAGTTACAATACATTATACAATGTCACTCTGACTCTGTCACTCAGTCATTGATGGAAGTTGAACTGGCAGATGTGTAAAAATTAACATCTTGACATGTGCTATACTATAGATTAGAATGTATAATTTATTATTAATTCACTAATTACCATAATTACTTGTAGTACTATTTAATTAAAATTTGAAAATACAATACTTTATTATAACAAAAACATACCTTAACAGTGTTTCTGAGTGTCTTTCTCTGTAGTGGACTACGCTTGTAGAAATAGTAAATGCCTAGTATTACAGTTGCAAGCCTGTCATACACGGAGCACTTCTTGATTGTGTCTTTAAAGGACAGCGCAAGTCTATGGGCAAGGCAATGAACTCCAATCATCGACGCATAATATTCTTTTAGTTTGGCAATCAACCAATGTTTTTCCCTGTCATATTTGAGGCACCATCAGAGCCGAAGCCCACACATTTGTACATACTGTCAAATATTTTCTTTGTTTTCAACTGACTGACAACAGAATTGTATAGATGACTAGAGCAAGTAGATTCAGGCTCGCCTATTCCAATAAATCTATTTTCTACCGTCCCCGGTTGCAATACCTCATGAACAATGTTTCTTGCTCGACTGAGCAATCATCCGTGCTCCCATCCATTGCAAGAAAAGAGTTTGATTGTATCCATAATGTGTACTACTTTTTTCCCTTTTAACAGCTGTTATGGCTTCCAGGAAGCAGGTTCCTGCAGCAGCATTGTTGTATGTTTCCCCGGTGTCCAATCCCTTGGCCTTATCTAGCATATTCAACCAGTTAAAGTCTGATAGAGGACGGTTGTATTTAACCACTGCGTGTATCTTTAAGAATTTATGTTGCAATTGCTTTCTCCGGCTTTCGTTTAAAGCTACGAGAGTTTGTGTCCTGTAGTTTTTTCAGGATTTTGTTTACCATAATTAATAGCAATAGCTTCTTCGTGTGCCTTAGCCTTTTCGTGAGCAACTACAGTACTATATCTTAAGTTGTTACACCCAGAAATAAACAGATATTTATTGATGTTTACCTTGTTGTTACCTTTACAATTCATCATTTCTTGTCGATCACTAAAAGCATCGATGCATATTTGGCAAAACATTTTTTTTTCTCCTCGTTATAAAAAAGCCATTTATGAATGTCTTTCCATTTATTTTGGAACATTCTTTCCGGCCTATCATTTTGTTCATACTCTTTTTGTTTTTTCACCTCTTTGTTGTCATTATCTTTTGTTTGCACTCTTTTAACACCGGGTTTAGCACCATCTTTGAACGAAATGGGCCATGCGGCAGCCATGATGACTTTTACGACTGATTATCTTTCAGACGTATTACCGTAATTTTGAGCTATGCTACAAAAGTTAAATTACAGTAGTTACCAGTTCAAAAACTATCTGAATACCAAAGAAACCGACTTCTTTTTCAAAAGTATTACCGTAATTTTGAGCTATGCAATTAAAGTTTGTTTACATTAGTAACCAGTTCAAAAGCTATCTGAATACCGAAAAGATGAAAATTAAAAGTGGACAACCACCAAAATTTTGTCGGTCATCAGGCCTAGGACTGCCACTACACATGCAATTGTCGGTTCTAGCCATTACTTGGCGGTCAGGACCAACGAGACCGACGGTTTTCGAGACTCTGTTTTCAGGGTGATCTGGAAGCATAATAGTAAGAGTAATATTATACTGTAAATTCAGAAATTATTGCGATGTTTTTATTATTGCGAAAAATGCGACAGGATTATAATCGCAATAATTTATACTCGCATTTTGAAATTTTTTATATGAATTAAACAAGATTTTTCTCAATATCGCAAAAATTAAAATCGCATTTTAGTCTAAAATGACAAAATCGCAATAATAAATGCACGCAATAATTTCTGAATTTACAGTATTCGATTTTGACTGATCCTGATGAAGGTAATTCCAGAAAAGCGCTTCAGACGCATACAATTCATAAAGTGTTTTTTTTAAATTTTTTTATGAATGCACGGGTACCAGCTTTAATACACAAATACACTGAAACGACGGGTTGCGTTGTTCTAATTGACTAGTTTACAGCGCAGTCTGAAGTTTGAAGTTAAGGAAGAAGATTTTGTTCCGTCTTCTCATGAAATGTGACATTGAAAGCTTGTTATAAAAATGTAATGAGTAATATATAAGGTATACTAGCTATGCGTTTGTTTTTTCTTATAATCAATCAAGTTAAATTAAGTTTTTTTGTTTTGAATTGTTTTCTTTAAAACGAATGGCAATTCCGTACTGAAAATTAAACATTTTATCTTTATTTATACGTGCGAACACTTAAAAATATATCTGTTTATCAAATATCTATTTAACTAAAAATAGCATCATCTATTTCGTTTTGAGATAACTTTTAAGACACCGGTTATAGATGTTATAGGAATACTTTTGTAATACAGAATAAAATTGACCATTTGGTGTTTCCACAAGAAACGGTGAAGCGTTTGACCAGACAACATAAAGAAGGACCAACAAGACCGAGTCGACGCTGTTTACAACAAAATACAAGACTTGCTGCCCGCACTTCATAGAATGGATTACTCACAAGAGAAATGTGAGATGTGCCGTTTGTTCTGGCAAAAAAAAACCGGCTTTCGTGGATTGAAATCAGAACATGGTGTCTGGATTGTTGCGTGTGTGGAAAGATTTTTTTTTAACAATTTCCACACATTGATGATTTATGAGGAATAAATGGTTTGCGTTTTAAGGAATAACAACCTCATAATGCATTGTACATTATTTTACATTTATAAGTACTGGTACTTTTACATCATCTACATGAGTTCGTCTGTTAACTAAATTTGTATGAATGTAAAAATGGATCAGCTCATCACCAACCAAACCATTTTCTGTTTTGTTTTTGGACTCTACATATGTGTTGGCTTTTTTGTGTCTTTGTGTATCTTTCTAATTGTCGTATATTTCACATCTCATATCATTCATAAATAAAACGAAAATAAATGGCAGGAAGTCAATTCAAAGCAATGTGTTCAGAAATAATTATGTATATAATGTATATCTCAAGGTGAATACCATTTGATAATAATTGTTTTTTGGAGTTTATATAATATACTATGCACTACCATACTCCATCCATTTGAAACTTAAATTCATCATGTCCGTGTATGTTGGTAGCTACACATTTGTAGAAACCATTATTGTTGATACTGAATTTGAAAATTTTAAGGATTCCAGAACTTTCAGATGCATCCATGTTATTTACATTTGTTGCATGCTAAAATTAGATACAAATATATGTTCTAGAATTAATCGTAAACAGCTTATAACAAATTATTCAACAGAAAATTGGTTTGAACTTGCTTTCAGTAACTGTGAGTTATCTTATAAAGTATGTTTTGCCTTCTGTTTTTATGCAATTTTTTTTTTAATTATTGAGTTAAGCCATTACCGACTAATTTTTAAAGTTTGCTAGTATGTTGTGTGCTATAACATCACTGTAAAGGTTAGTGGGAGGTTTGAGCTCACAAACATATTGTACCTCAAAAGGGACTGGGGAATAAAAAATGGTATTTTTTGGTCTTCGACTGGCATTTAAACCCTTGCCAAAGTTGTGCGTTCGTTTAGCTGTACAGGATATATAAATACACAGCCACGTCTGGTCAGATTTGGTCATTAAATCGTGTAGAGTGCCACGCACGTTAAAAACTGTTGCAACAACTATTTGAGGGGTTCGTAGGTGGCCTTTTGAAATGGTAAATTTCTGTCCCTATCGAATATGTCCTTGTATTCAAGTGCCAGTCCAAAATACAGGTCGATTTCTATTACATGACCTACACATTGAATGTATTGTTACTTTGTTTCCTTTCTGAACATACATGTAATATTTTGCACTGGATATAAAACAAACAACAATCTTTCAATCAACTAACCAAAGGCATATTTAACCCATCCACCTTCATTGTGTGCCGTTCAGGAGATTGTAATTGTCTCAGCTGCGCACCGTGGGGATATAGCAATGGTCTACGATCGTCCGAAACACATCAATATTCAGAGACCGGTTGACAGAAAGGTTTCATAAATACTTAGTAGGACATTCACTGTCCTACATTTTGTCGATACCTATATTTTGGCATTGCAAAAATCAAGTTTTTCTTTTACTGTTAATGACGTCTTTATATTTAATCATTTAGATGTTGTATGTGCATTGATTAATATTTTTATAATGTGACCTACCGAAATAGACTTATCACCGGGTTTGTACTTGCATGAGCAACACGAAAGGCGCACATATGGAGCAGGATCTGCTTACCCTTCAGGAGCAATCGAGATCACCTCGGATTTTGGATGGGGTTCGTGTTGCTCAGTCTTTAGTTTTGTGTTGTACTATTGTTTGTCTTATGGTCCTTTCTTTTTTGCCATGGCGTTTATTTTCGACTTGTGAGTTTGGCTGCCCCTTCGATATCTTTCGCCACTTTTTTGCCTTATACACATGTTTTTATTAGTCGTTATTCGCTTTGAACTAGCTTTCGGTTGCTACCTGATCTGTTCTTTATACATTAAGGGTTGTTGTTAGTCGGGTTTTTGTTTGAGATGCTTTGTATCGATCTGATGAGCTAAGCTCTTTTCGACTGATTTTTGTAGTTTGTTCTTATGTTGTGCTGTTACACTATTTCCCAAGGTAAGGGGAGGGTTTAGCGCCCGCAAACATGTTAAAACCCGCCACATTATGTATGTGTAGTTATCTTCTTTTGCTGCATATCATACTTATTTTTCGTTTATTTCTTTGTATATTTTGTTCTTGTGTTGTGCTGTAACACCACTGTACCAGGTTAGGGAAAGGGTTAGGCCCGCTGAAATGTTTAACCCTTCCTTATTCTGTATGTGCCGGTCCCAAATCAGGAGACTGTAATCTTGGGGTTGTCGTTTGTTGACGAGAACAACTTGAAGATAAATGCAATACGTAGGTCCTGTAATAGCGGCCGTTCGGGATGAAGGTCGGGAAAATTTCGACTGCCACTAGCTATAGAAAGTGAGGATATATTGGATAGGGACAGAAATTTTGCCTTGCATCTGTCCAACTACGGAACCCTCAACGAGTTGTTTCAAGGGTACCTGATGTGTAAAGAGCGTGGCACTCTCTGTCCATGATGCATTAGATTTAACGTCCCCATTCTGACCAGACGTGGGTGCGAATTTGTACACCTCGCACAGCCAAACAGACACCCCACTTTGACAAGGGTTTTGCTGCAGGTTGAAAGAAGACCCAAATGACCATATATCTATTCCCCAGACACCCTTGGTGGTTAAATAAAAAGAACATAGTAATTGAAAAAGTAATGATCAGTATAAATACCTGAAATAAAAATTCAGTTTTCGGATGAGGATTTCCTGTGGTTACACATGACACAGAAACATTATCTCCATAATGTACAATATGTGGTGTCCAGATTATATCTACAATTTTTGGTGAGCTAGCTGAAACAAAAAAAAAAGATGCATGTACTGTATGACCGTATAGTTTTGAAATGAAATGTATGTTCTAATTAAATGTAAAAATAAGATGTGGTATGATTGACAATGAGACAACTCTCCACAAGAGACCAAATGACACATAAATTAACAATTATAGATCATCGTACGGCTTCAACAATGAGTGAACCAATACCGCATAGTCGGCTATAAAAGGTCCCGAAATGACAAATGTAAAACAATTCTAACGAGAAAACTAACGGCCTGATTTATGTACACAATAATGAACAAAAATCAAATATGATATACGGCAACAAACACTCTATTTCAACATGTTCAATGTGTCCTAACTATACCGGCAAAGAATGTTCGACTCCATAGCAACTACATGTAATATCCACTACGGTGACACACCAGCAAACGTTAACTTAAAGGTAGAATTTCTAATTACTTATTTGTGAATGCACAATTTACTTTTTTTGGTGTGTGATGTACATTTTTCTACAACCGTTATGGATCAACAGAGAAATAAGTAAAAGGATGATCAGAGTGACCCTTACCTTATATTTGGCATAATATATTAATAAATTGCACACATTGTACTAAAAAAAACGTTTAGTAGGAACGGTATAAAAATGTGGATTCCAAAATGAGTCTTTTTGCACCTTAATGTCTGTATTTCTATATATGGAACAAAAGAAATGGGACATGTCAATTTGAAAGGACTCGGTTTTATAACAGTTATCTACAGCATCAGGAACTGGTTTTGTCTTCATTCAGGACCCGATTCTGTTTCGTTTTGAAAAACCAAGTTTATGGAAGCCAACAGTGCAAAAATAGTAAAATATATGCTCGAACCTTTCAAAATTAAGATACATCATTGATGGTTTAAGTGCAGACAGGAAACTTATGATTTCATTAATAAATTGAAATTGACAACTTTTACACTAAAATGTCCATTTTATCTATATTTTTTTGACGGAAGTAACATGAGCCAAGGCCTGACCAAAAAGGATATTTTACTCACATTAAAGTCTTATAAGTTAATCTTTTATCAAATATCTTTTTGGCGAAAGTCTTGGCTTGTATCATTATATTAATATAAACATGCAAGACAAAATTCAAAAATAAGCAGAAAAAAAAAAACGTTCTGAATAATGACAACGCCTCCCGCCATATTGAAATGCAGTGAAAAACAAGCCATATTTGTTATCATTTTCATTTGAACATGTTGAAGATAACAAATCATTTTCTTTTTATCTTATTCGATGGACAATATCTCAATATTTAGATTTTAAGTCTTGTGATTAGATTCTGTAATTTAGATGTCATTACCAAAACTAGTTACAGAGGGACGTTGAACATTCATTATCGCGACAAAAAGTAACTCCCTTGAAACTATTAATTTCATGTAAAAGATATGGTTACTTTGGTCTTCATCCGACCGGCAGTAAAACACTTCCCAAAATGGGGCGTCCGTTTGGGTGTGTGTGATGTACAAGTACGTAGCCACGTCCGGTCAAAATGGAGACGTTAGATCCGAAACCTCGTGTTAAGAGAGTGCCACGATCTCTGCACGTTCAGAGCCCTTGCAAATACTTTTCGAAGGGTCCATAAGTGGCCTGTTTCAAGGCAAATTTCTGTCCCTATCCTATATACCATCATTATCCCAGACCTTCATCCCGGACGGCCTCTATTTCAGGACCTATCTATTGCTTAAAATGTTAATTTGTTCTCGTCCTGAACATGCATGAAATATTTTCCACTGGACATTAGTCAACCAACTATCAATCTATCAAGGCAACCAACCATCAATCTATCATATTAGAATAGTTGTAGACCATTGTACATCTCAATCGAAAATAGTAATATGTACATTTACATGTATATTCTAAAATTACATGCACATTCCAAATAAGAAAACAATGTTCCATCATTAAGCTGGTGTTTTGTGGTCCATTACCGAACTGGAACTGGAAAATATCGAGTCAAACATATTTTTGTAGGGGTAGTTTGCACACAGTGTATTTTTCTATCCACCAAACGTATTATATACTACGAGGGGTAATAGTTTCGAACAAAATCAATCGCATTAAGCTACCCTCAATGCATAACTGACGACATGTACGTCATTAGAATTAGCCACATAAACAAGATCAATTTACTTTTTGAATCCAGAAAACGTTTAGATCAAACATTTTCGTATATGAAATTTTAGCAATATACTACTTATTGTAAAAGGTCAACCACTAAATCAACATACCAATAATCGTCCTGATTACTTTTTTGCAAGTTAGCTATTTTCGCTTATTGTTGATGTTTTGATTGTACACCCATTTGTAATGACATATTATAATGAACGTGAAACGTCTGGACATACCTCAAAGTGTCAACATAAAATAGGACTACAATGGTCTTTATTACACTCACGTGGTCTAGGACAGTGGTTATTACATAAACTACTGTTACAGCAATTATTTATACATGAGGTTGTATTCTTGGAGATGCTCAGGCATTTCTACAAAAAGAAAAAAATAAGGAATATGTTATTGTTTCGTGTAGAGAGAGTTAAACACTCAGTCTGAACAGTATGAAACGCTTGCAACAATAATTTGAGTAAACCGATGTTGACTTGTTGCAAGAAATAACATACCCTAGTCCTCAAGTAGTAGTTTAGACTCCCGCATTCAATCCCGGTCGATCCATACTAAAGTCATCTCTTCAGAAGTTTTACAAACACCATCATGACTTGGTTAACCATTACCGAAAGTTTGTGTTACCCGAGAACGTTTTTATTGCCACATTGAGTTCTGTTTATGTTGCTTCTGACCTTTTTTTTCAACACGTGATGCATAACCGGATATTTATCAATGATCATCGCAACGGTTGAAATTTGTTGAAAAGAAACTGCGCGCTGTATTCCAGAGTTAAGTCACACCTCATAATAAAAGGTTGAATTACTAAATCTTATCTCAGTAAAATAATTTGAGATTTTTGTATTCGAGGTGTAGGCATGTGTTAGTAAGATATCTTATTTTTGTTATTATTTGGAGAAATATATTACAACGGCAGCTAGATCTTTGTTAATTTTGTTCACAATATTTATAATTTTGGAGAGACCAAGAGCTCTTTACCTATTGTATAGATACTGGTCTATTGTTGAAAACTGTATAATACAATCTAGATCTTGTTTGGTAGCAGTCTTATTTATGTATATCTCACGTTTCCGTTTATCCTTAAATAAAGATACATTAAACACAAATACGTGGACTGGTGATTTTATACTATGGCCATTGTTCGTCCCTGTAATAATTACAGCTTATTTAAAGATAAGATTTGGTATGAGCTCATTTTTCATTGTTTTGCCTTTGAGTATAACAGTCCCTTAGTATTATATGAAATTTCGATTAGAAACTGATTTTTTTATGCGTTTAACGCCACTGTCAGCACTATTGGCTATTTCGTTGCGGCCTGTTTTTATTGGTGGAGGACCTTAAGATTGGAGTCGAACGCACCTACCACGTGCGGGGCTCGAACTCACAACCTTAGTGTTGACAGGCTAGTGGTACAGTAGTTGAACTACTTAGAGCACTTGGTCACCGAGTAGTTACTGTGATGTTTATTGCACCATTTTCTTGTGTTCGTATTTGACCATTTGAATTTCAATTTAATAATCAATATTGTTACTGTTTATCATTGGGACCTTGCACATGTAAGACCATGTTAAACAAAATGTCCCGACTGATTTTTATACTTTAATACTATAAGTACTCAAAGCCAATTACAAAGTCGTTGTTTTCACCTTAGGGATTGACGTCACGAGCTCTTACACTCGTAAGGAGCAGCATACTCGAGATCAAGCATCCGGCTTGTGTGATGAATGGTTGGTTGCTTAACTTCTAGTGATAAATACTTCAGAAGACAAGAAATCAACAATTCATTTTCTCTGAACCAGTATACATTTTTGTGTAGGGGCAAGCTAAAGCCCGCCTCCGGGTGCGGAATTTTCTCCTTGTGTTGAAGACCCATAGGTGGCCTTGGGCTGTTTTCTGCTCTTTGGTCGAGTTGTTGTCTCTTTGACAAATTCCCCGTTTCCATTCCCTATTCTATTAAAATGTACTGACATTGCATTCCTACCGTGTTTTCCTCACAGCCTGATTTCCATCGACTTTCTCCAAAAATTGTTGAAATTTGTTGAATTTGGCAGGACTGGAAAAAAAGACGATCAGAGTGTAAATATTTGCCTAAATCCAGGAAAATGACCACTGTTAAGTGGAAACTAACAAACAACATACGAGCTCTTAAAAAAAAGATGTGGTATGATCGCAAACGCGACAATTCTCCACAAGAGACAGAATGACGTAGATGGTTAGCAACTATAGGTCACCGTACGGCCTTCAACATTGTGCATAACCCATGCCACATAGCAAGTTATAAAAGATCTAGAAATGACAAATGCTAAACAATTCAAACGAGAACACTAACGGTCTGATTAATGTACAATACAATAAACGAAAAATAAATATGAAATACAGCAACAAACGACCACGTTGAATTGCAGGCTCCTGACTTTGGACAGGTGCATACATAATGAAGTGTGGTTTAACTTAGTTCATTTATCTGAGTGTACACTCTTTGTAGTTCTAACGAATGATTATTGTTATTCGCTTAAAATATAGTTTCAAATATGTATTGCTGTTTCAGAATTGGCCTGTCATTTGAGACCGAGGCTCTTTATTTTACAGCCTGTCGCTGACACTTGCCTGAATTCAACGGAATTGTAACTTTTTTCAGAAAACCGGGGGTGATCTTAGGTGCTCCGGAAGGGTAAGCAGATCCTGTTCCATATGTGGCACCCGTCCTGTTGGTCATGTTAAGTCTAATTCAATAGATCACATTCGGGGATGGGATGATGTGATTGTAGACACGACAATTGGAACATATCCATCGTCACCTGTGAAACAGATATTCCATAACGGTCAACCAACTCGTGATGGCGTCCGTAAAATTTTCGAAGGGATGATTTCAACTTCACCACCTGGAACTCTTAGTTTAATAGCTTTCTTGTAAGCAACTATCAAGGGAATCATGATAGAAAATGCAAGCTATAAAATATCGTATCAATTGGGACATATATACTCTATATACAGGTGCTGCAAAAATGTTGCTACATAGAAATGGAAAGTTCACAATTGGGAAGCTAAAATCGTCTCTTTTTTTCGTAAGGTTTTGTTTTCAACCGACCCTCATTGTCATTTTCTAGCTGTAAGTGAAGATACGAGGCAGACTTAACTGTATCTGTTGTATCCTTTATTCCAAGTTCAATGGAATAGATGCGTTCAACATTGTCAACAAACTTTGAATTATATAGTAAGAGGAAATCATCTGTATAACGGAATGTCAAGTTAAGGGATAATGATAACTTCTTTTCGTTCTTCTTAAGAATCTCCTAAATGAAGTCAGACACATATGAATAAAGGAACAAGTTGGAAAAATGAGGAGCACAGTTGCTTACCATGGAATGCTGATAGTTTGTTGAAAAACGATTCCTCCAAACGTAACAAATACGTTGTCAATTAAGAAATCAAGCATCATGTTAATTTCAGAGAATTGTTTGTTTTAATCAGAGTGATTTTTATTTCAAAGTACGATTTATCCCTCCCTAAGACAAGATATGTGTATCCACTTTGGCAATATTTCTTTTATAAAACAAAACAGGACCATTTTTTTCAATTTATCTTTTAGTTTGGAATGGTGTCCTTATGCATGTACGTACAGTTTTACGCGTGGCGTATAGTTTTTAACAGGCATTATTTGTCATCATTATCATGGGAAAGAGAGTGTAATGAAATAACATTTGTTGATTCAGACATAAAGCATTTTAGGAGGTCGATTTGCAAAATCCTCAATCATATTTACCTATTCTGACATCGGACTCGGACTTCTTTTAAACTGAGTTTTACTGTGCGTATTGCTGTGTGTTTATTTATTCGACATTGGCTAGAGGTATGGGGAGGGTTGAGATCTCACAAAACATGTTTAACACAGCCGCATTTTTGCGCCTGTCCCAAGTCAGGAGCCTCTGGCCTTTGTTAGTCTTGTATCTTTTTTAAAATTTTAGTTCATTTATATGTTTCGGAGTTTAGTGTGACGTCCATTTTCACTGAACTAGTATACATTTTTGTTTCGGGCCAGCTGAAGCCCACCTTTAGGTGCGGGATTTTCTCGCTGTTTTGAAGACCCATTGGTGGCCTTTGGGCTGTTTTCTACTCTTAGGTCGGGTTGTTGTCTCTTTGACACATTCCCCATTTCCATTCTCAATTTTATTGTATAGTGAAATTGGTTTATGTATCTGCAGTTCTAAAATCTAGAAAATGAAAATATCAGCACAAACGTACGTTAGTGAATAGTAAAAATGCACAAATTATTATAAATTAGCGTAGTTAAATGCAAATAACAACTACTTATAATAAACAGGAAAACAGACATTATAACGGTATCGGGATCTGATAGAAATACATTGTAGGATTATATTAGGTTTTTGTTTTGGAGGGAAATTTTTGGAAACGCTTTGAAGAACCATTGATTTGTCTATTGACATTAAATAGTTAAAATGTAAAGAATAGTGGATAATGGGGAAAATAAATAAAGAAAAGAGAAAATGGTATAAAAAATTGAAGAAAAAAGAAACGAAGGACACCCCATTAGGACCTTCATAAAACCAATTGTAGTTACGATGGTTATCTGTCTCATGATAGAAACGCACGTGTCGAAAAAGGAGAATCAGCCAAATTTCATTTTCAGTAATACAACAGTATTATTTGTTATATAGTGAACAGTTCATCTATAAAAGGTTTTTCTTATATGAAAATAACACTTTAAAAGTTTTGTTCATTAGAAGCGCTTTTCTGGATTTACCTTCATCAGAACGCTCAAACCTGTACATTTGAAAACCAAGACTGTATAAATACGTAGAAACGTTAAATATCACACCAAACTTGAACAGCATGACCTTAGGTCCTTAATAGTACACAATTTAAACTAGAGCATAGCCAGGGAGCCCCGATACATGTCCAGTGAAAAATAAATTTATAGAAAATAAGAGTTTCAGGTAATGAAACTGCAACCCCATGTGACAAGAAAATGAATATCAGTTACAGCGAAATCTAACCTGCTGATTAGAACACAGTGTTATAGTATTGCAGTCATCCGCTCTGAGTGTACCAGTCTGGCAATTGTAACACAAGCGTCCACCTCTAAGATTGATGCCTGCAAAACAGTTGTTATGTCACTTGGTTATGTTCACACGTGATTTGCGAATGAAGAATAAGCAAGCATAGAGAAACTTTTTAATTAGGCCTTTTCGTTTGGAATATCGCTTTAAATGACGTGGTTATCTAAATGAATGTTTGTATGTTTCCAAAAAATAGTTTGCATGGGCTTTTCGAAAACACAATTATATATAAAAGTTAAAATTCCTTTTTATAATCTCTATATTTATCACAGAAACAATTATTGAATAAGAAACGAATGATTTATTTTAAGGATGTTCGCTAGGTTTTTTTTGTTTGTTGTCAGATATCTGGAGTCCTCTGGTTTTATCCATGTAATGCTATTACAAATGTTGTGCCCTAACCCCTTCTTTACTTTTCATAATTGAATAACATATAGTATGAAAAGCCATTTTTGAAAATCTTATAAAATCCTTATATTTTTTTTTTAGTTTTTGAAAAAAAAGTGACAATGTATGTAAAATCTAGAGAAAGTCATTTCCCGCCAAATTTTTAATGTCTTTTATCTCAAAACCAAGGACAAGGGCATGTTTTTTAAGTTCTGTTATTTATGTACTATCAATTTATAACAGTTTTTTTAAAAGCTTGTATTTTAAAACAGAGTAGCGAACATCCTTAATACTTAAGTTATGGAACTAGACCTTCTCACGAACTTCATTCTCATCCAAGTTTTGATTGATTGATTGATTGGTTTGCGTTTAACGCCAATTTCAGCACTATTGGGCTATTTCGTGGCGGTCGGTTTTTTGGCGGAAGAATCCCTAATGCCCGGAGAGAACCACCGACCTTCGATAGAAAACTGACAATCCTAGTCAATTAAGATTGGACTCGAGCGCACCTGCAACGTGTGAGATTCGAGTGTTGACAGGCTAGTATACCAGTAGCTGGACTACTTAGACCTATCGGTCACCGAGGCCCCTCCAAGTTGTGAATTTTGAAAAGTAAAGCATCGGGATAATATTAAATAACTTCCGAGAGACGACTTACGTCTACTAATCATTGTCTTTATAATACAATATTTGTAATTACATACCAACCAGAACGTTAGAAGTGAACGTTTGTGAATAACTGGACGATATATATACTGAAATGTTATTTCACTTTAAACAGTTATTACAACAAAAGACTAGAGAGGCAACCAATAATAAGAATATGCCAATATGTAAACCTTATGTATTAAGGAAAAAAAAACTTGATGATGTTTCTGATAGCTCGGGTTAAATTGAACTTATTTGCTTCCAATAAACCTTAACGAAACCAATATGTATCGATATTTCGTCTGTTAATGTTTTGTAACGGAAATAAATACAGTTTTCATTATTCTTATGAGGATTGATATCATACGTAACCTCGATTTACTTCTTCAACAACAACAAAAAAGAAAGAATGATAAGTACATGTTACTACATGTACTTCTAGTCTATAACTTTAACTAACTCTTAGTCAAAATACATCTTTAATTAAAGAAGTCTTGAGTTTTATTCGGAAAAGTGAACGTTTTGACCTTTAGAAAGATATTTTCCTTTTTTCCTTTTTTCTTTTTTTTAACAGATATAGTTTAGTATGTCGATGAATAAGCTTTTTGACGTAGGACTGTTGTTTATCTTTTTGGGAAATTGTGAACTTTCTTTTTTTCTATAACTATTGTACAAATCTATAATTATCTAATGTTGTTGTTGCATGTCTTTATATTTATATATTATAACTTATTATATTTAGGAGAGGACTATCTAAGTTGTGATAACTTGTGTCTGATCCTTTTTGTAATATGTTATAACAAATAAAATATGTTTAAATGAAAAATGTTACTATGTCTATATCACAATTCGTTTTTATAAACCTGCTATTGCAGTGTTTAATTTTCAAAACTGAAGGACAGATTTCGTATTATTATTATAAGATGGGAAATGAGAGCCAATATGTTAACAAAAACAAGGTAAAAAAAATGGTTGATTGATTATTCGTGTTTAACACAAGATTAGAACTCTTGGCTCTGTCATGCTGGTATTTTTTTTTTATTGTGAAGAAGCCGGAGTACCCAGAGGCAACTACCAATAATCGGCAGGACAAAATGCTCTCAGCTGAAGGACGCCTCCGGGTGCGGGAATTTCTCGCTGCATTGAAGACCTGTTGGTGACCTTCTGCTGTTGTCTGTTCTATGGTCGGGTTGTTGTCTCTTTGACACATTCCCCATTTCCATTCTCAATTTTATCTCTTTTGAAATAAACAAATGAAAAGGGGTACCTGTAGCTGACTATGTTAGGATATTTTGCAAAGAATAATATCAATTATTAAATCTTAACCTTTCGATCCACAACGTTGTTGTGCATTACATAGAGTAGAATTACAACAATCTGAACACAAATTTATGTCTCTTCGTCGTCCAACGGCAACGGGGCTAATACACCTCTGAAATAATAAAAAAAAATAAACAAAGAATTCAAGTAAATAAGAAGACTTTGCGTTCTACCATAAATTTATACCACTTTTCTTGATAAAGTTCTACAAATACTTGCAAGGAAGGAAAACATTAATTTAAGGAAATGTGGGAGTATTTTTCAATATGTCAGCAACCCAAAGACATAAAAAAGCCAAAAGAATGTTCAACATGATACAACATCATTCATCCCCACACATTCTTTATGTGCCTGAAATCCAGTTTGTTGCTGTACGTCATAATTATAATTACTTTTAGTAGCTAAGAAGCCAGAAAACGCCCGGTGTTTACATTTGACGCCGGAAGCATACCTATGACGTCACCTATTATTAATTTTGTTTATTATTATAGATAAATCAGGCAATTGATTTTCTCTTTTGAATTGGACCACATCTTATCCGGGGTCTGTTACTGCTTTCTTACAATATTGGGTTTGCTAATGGTTGATGGCCGTATGGTGATATGCAACTGTTCATATCATTGTTCTTTGTCATTATTGATATTGGTTTCAAAGGCAATCATACCACATCGCCTTATTCTATATAGAAGTTAAAATACGGTCTCTGACAGTAAACAAATATCCGTACAATATGCCAAGGTCTGAATCTCGAAGATGTCGTTTTGACCTACCTTAAGATGTCAGTTTGACCTTCGCATACCGACCAACCCCACATAAATGTGTTCTCGTTCTCTATATGCCCGAAATATCTGCCACTGGACAATACGCATTATCGTTTTTGACGTATGAGTTTCCACATTTGAGAATCAAATAATTAGTTCTGGCTTTAACGGCTATTTAATTGAAAGATACCGGTATTCTAGGTAAGACAAATTTTCCACGGGACACTTCGTAACATAAGACTTGTTTTATTAACGAATTAATTTTGACCATGCCCAGTTAGGCTGAATAATAATGGGAAACTTTTACTGTTAACAACAAAAGATGTGATTTGCAGTGGCGGATCAAAAGAGTGGAGCAGACGAAAAGGCGAACGCCCCCTTTTGATCGTCCAAATTTCTCAATTTTCTCACGATTTATATGATTTTTTAGCATAAAATCGTCTAAAAAGGTTTCGCTCGGTGGTAAACATTCCGTTTTCTGAGATAACACCCCCTTTCAAAAATCATAAACCCGCCCCTCATTTGAATTTTCCAATCTTTTCATGTCTTGCGTAAAAACATTCCAGCGGCACCTGTAAAATGAGTATATATCTCCCAGTTAAACGAAATTCCAGAAAAGCGTTAACCTTGCTATCATGATTTTCGAGAATGAGGGTTATTCCTTACAATGAAACTATTGAAACAAGGGTTCTCAGTGATGACGTTGAAGACATCCATTTGAAAGGTTTTAGGATATCATCATGATTTAGATTACGGTATTGAAATAATCACGTCAAAATTAGTCACGGATTTGTTCCTCTTAGTGTTGCGTGTCTTCGTTTCCTCAATTGTGACATCGCCGAATGCGTCTCTCTTGACAAGTAAAGTCCGAAGATAGATCTTTCTTTTTTTTTATAGTATTTGGACGAAGGCGGCAATTTATTTCGCAAAAATCGAAGACATCTTTTCGACCATGAACTAGATTTGCCAGAATGGTCAATCCTTACTTTACTTGATACCGCTTGTGAACTATTTTACCATTAAAATACCATCGATATTCAGAGCACAAAGGCACACTAATGATATAGAAAGCTAAAAAATCCAAAACGCCACTATAATTACAATACAATTACTCAAAAAGTTTAGGATGATATTGACGGAAGGTAATTAACAGATTATTTTTTTCGTGCATGGCTATTTATGCTAAAACATGTCACCGCCACAGAAGCATATTTCCAATAAATTCTTGTCTGATATATGATCTACAACTAATTCTGAAGACAGGTACTTCTTTTAAGATAAAGACTTTATAAGAACTTACATCTATATCTCTGCATCCGACTTTGAAATAGTAATGGCCATCATCGGTCACAAATCTGTCTGTAAAACATTCCTAAAGAGAAGTGTTGGAGATGTCTTAAAAATATGATAAAATATCAAATCACCTCGATTCACCGAGAAACACGGTAGCATGTACTTACATTTGAACGGATATTGACACAGGCGCGACTCATGACACTTCCAGATGCAATGTTACGAGTCAAATTGCTCCAGATTAACGAGTACCATGCTAGGATCAAAACAAACAGCGTATACAGAATTACAAGGAGCTCTCAACGGTCTATTTTTTTAATAGGACTGTCATTCATAAAAGGGAGGAACCTGCATTATAATATTTAGTAAAGTCAATCCCAAATTATTTCGTAAGTGCCCAGTAGGTTTATTTTTTATATCATTCTGAATAAAATTTTGCCAGACTTTCACGTAAATAAACTAATTTTACAAACCTCGTGATCTCCACATCGAGTTACACGATTACAATCATGTGGTTGGGCTAAGTTATTGGAACAGGACAAACATGTTAATGATGCTGTTCCTAAATAAACATGTAGAAATGTTAAAACATGTTTGATATGTACAAAAATGAACGATTACACAAAATATTTACATATGAGGGTCTAGATGGGGGTACTTCATTTCTGTATTCTTTAATTTTTTATGACATTTTTCTCTATTCTTTATATTTTTTGCTTCTTATTCTCAATTTTTTATATTCAAGCACCCCGTTATTCTCTTTTCTTTTTTTCCCCCTTTTTTTCTCTATTCTTTTTTTTTTTTTCTCATTATTCTCTATTCTGTAAACCCCATCCAGACCCTCACATATGTTAGTTAGTTCTTTCTGTTGTAACATTTTTATATGGACAGAAGAGGCGGTAGATTTTCAAAAGTTTTTTTTTTTCAAACTCGATGTCATGACGCCGTGGCAAAAAAAATATGAAAGACGACGAAAAGAAAAACGAGTCCACAAAACACTATGGAAGAAAATTAAAGACTGACCAACACGAACCCTCAAAAACAACTGGGAATCATCTCCGTTGCTTCGGAATGGTAAACAGATTCTGATCCATAAGTGGCACCAGTTGTGTGAAAGATGATAACTTAAATAGTGAAGCATGGGTGAGAAGGAACATATTACGTAATGCAAACATTGATCGTAAGAATGCATCGCGATAAGCACGTTTGTACATGTAACCTAAGCGTGAAATGTTCGAATGTTTTCAAAGTTCAAATATCTTATCCCTTGTTTTATGTGACAAAGTTATATAATCTGTTCCTTTGTCCACTGTATGTACCTCCTACCATTTAGATTGTATTGCCTTAAATAATATGTTTGAAATATTCGCTACTGGACCTTAAGTTTTTTGGCTCAATTTTTCTTTTTTATCTCAAATGTGTGTGTTTTTTTTTTAAATAAGATGAAATATGGAGTGATGAGCACAAACATTGTATTTTTAAACTTGCAACATCTTTATATAAAAATAAGAATATGTGGTATGACTGCCAATGAGACAACTGTGCCAGTCATAAGTCAGAAATTTTAAAAGTGGTTGTAACATTTTTTCTGTGTTTTGTTCATGAAGAAACGTTCTATTCTTTCTTAACTTCTCTTGACCCGGATAGAGTCAGAGTTTGCGATTTGGTTTCTGGCGATTTTCCGTATCTGAAGTTCGTATGATGACCCTTAGACGTATCTTTTGTGAACGTTATATTGGGCTGCTGGTCCATGGACTCTTATCCATTATGTTCTATTAATGTTTACACCTTAGGATAATTTTCAAAAGGCGGAACACTTTAATGAATCTGATTTCTTCAAAATTAAGTAGTCAGTGCAATTCCTTGTCCATGCAAACAAAATCTTTTGTTCCTGTTGATTATATAGCTCCTTCTGTCAATGTATGTACGCAAGTACTTAATGCATCCTTTGCTTTCATTTTTTTTGGTTTGAGCGTTCAAAATGAAAGTTTATCCAGATAGCGCTTTGGACGTACCCAACTCGTAAAGCGTTATTTTCATTTTTATAAGTGTTTATATTAAAAGGAGCTATTTCCTTTATATATTTCAATTATATGTTAGAGAACATATCAGAGAGAAATAAAAATTAATAAAACTAGCGAGACCAGAGAAAAATATTTTATACAATAATAATAAGACTATTGAATAATACTCATTGGCTTCCCGTAAAGCAGATTTTATCTCAAAATTAAAAAGCCGAATGATAAGGCTTAAGAATATAGACAGGTGAAATTAAAAAAATCTGGAATATAAAATTGATACTATAAACAGCATTAGTTAAGGAACAAAAAAAAAGCTAAAAATAGTGATAGGAACTCCTTTTCGAGATATTTGATTAAAAAAATGCGGGAAAATGCTGAATCAGGCTTTTACCTTACATTTAGCATTGGCATTATTTAGGTCTCAAATCGTAAGAAAAGAAATCTAAAATCTGCTTAATTTTTTTTAATTACCTTTTATGAGCTAGTGAAGTCTTCTATGAAAAGAAAAGTGGGTGATATTGGACACAATATTTTACCCTGTGTCGTAGGAAAAAACCCGAGGAATCCGAACATCTGACAAAAATTCCTAAACATCTTTAATACTATAAATAGAGACGTAAAATTGAGAATGGAAATGGGGAATGTGTCAAAGAGACAACAACCCGACCATAGAACAGACAACAGCAGAAGGTCACCAACAGGTCTTCAATGCAGCGAGAAATTCCCGCACCCGGAGGCGTCCTTCAGCTGGCCCCTAAACAAATATATATACTAGTTCAGTGATAATGAACGCCATACTAAACTCCAAATTGTACACAAGAACCTAAAATTAAAAATAATACAAGACTAACAAAGGCTAGAGGCTCCTGACATGGGACAGGCGCAAAAATGCGGCGGGGTTAAACATGTTTATGAGATCTCAACCCTCCCCCTATACCTCCAGCCAATGTAGAAAAGTAAACGCATAACAATACGCACATTAAAATTCAGTTCAAGAGAAGTCCGAGTCTGATGTCAGAAGATGTAACCAAAGAAAATAAACAAAATTACAATAATACATAAATAACAACAGACTACTAGCAGTTAACTGACATGCCAGCTCCAGACTTCAATTAAACTGATTGAAAGATTATGTCTTCATCATATGAATATCAGGCACAATCCTTCCCGTTAGGGGTTTAGTATCATACCATCATAACATATATGAGAAGAACATAACCCGTGTCATGCCAACAACTGGTTTTTAAATAAATGTGTTTAGTGCCGATGCAAAGACCCTATAAGTGAATCAATATTAACGCCAAAATATGCAATCTTTAATGACCTGACAACAGTATCGTAACTATATCCCTTCTTAATAAGTCTATTTAAAGGTTTTGTTAGCTTCAGAGGTGAATACTGACATTTTTGTGCTTTATAAAGAATATTTCCATAAAAAATTGGATGTGAAATACCTGAACGTATAAAAAGTCTGCATGTTGAGCTATATTTACGAATGATGTCCTTATACCGATGATAAAATTTAGTAAATGTTTTGACTAGTTTGTGATATCGAAAACCCTGGTGTAATAATTTTTCAGTAATACATAAATTTCTCTCGTTAAAATCTAAAACATTGTTACATACACGAGCGAATCGTACAAGTTGAGATATATAAACACCGTAAGATGGTGACAAGGGACCGTCACCATCTAAAAATGGATAATTAACGATAGGAAATGAAAAATCATCTCTTTTATCATTTATTTTAGTATTAAGCTTTCCGTTAATGATATAGATATCAAGATCGAGGAAAGGGCAGTGGTCATTGTTAGTATTAGCTTTATTTAAAGTAAGTTCAACAGGATAAATTTCTTTAGTATACATACTGAAGTCGTCATTATTGAGAACCAAAATATCATCCAAATATCTAAAAGTATTATTAAATTTGTGTATCAGATGTTGTTTCGATGGGTCTTTGCTGATTTTTGTCATAAATTGTAACTCATAGCAATACAAAAAAGGTCCGCAATAAGTGGTGCACAGTTAGTCCCCATTGGAATTCCGATAACCTGACGATATACGGAATCTCCAAAGCGAACAAAAATGTTATCTAGTAAAAATTCAAGGGCATATATAGTATCAAAGCATGTTCAATTGACATAGTTTTTTTGTTTATTGCCACTAAAAAATGACCTAAAAGAGTTTGAACATATATATTCACATTCTGACTTTTTAAATGCCCATTTAATTAGGTGTGTGAATTTTTTCTGAATGAGAATGTGAGGCAATGTGGTATATATTGTAGAAAAATCAAAACTTTGAACAGATTCAAAATCACCAATATATGCATGCAATTTATTAAGTACTTCCAACGAGTTCTTGACACTCCAAAAGTAATTAATTCCACTATTTTCGAAGGCCTTATTTGAACAATTTATTATCAGGTTTTTGATTGTACCAAGTGTACTGGTAAGAAGAATAGACAATTTAGTAGTGGAACAATGGCTTGAAGACGAAATGAATCTATATTTGTAAGGTGTTTTGTGTAGCTTCGGAAGCCAATACATAGTTGGGACTTTCATTGTATTTGGTTCTGCTTGTAAAGCAGTAGCTAAAAGTTTATGTTTGTTACAGATGTCGTTTTCTGAAAATGGAGTCAGTTGGAATGTTGGTGAATTGGTGATTTCTTTTTTCAGAACCTCAATGTAAAATTTACGTCAAACAATAATAATATTATTAGCAGCTTTATCGGCCTATAAGGACTATTTATATGGACCGAGAAAAGTGAATATCATTCTAACTCAATTAGGATGCTGCCCATCTTTCTTGAATCATAACTTTTTTTTAGAGTCAATATAATGCCTGACCTATATTGTCTTTGTGAGTGCAACATTGAGAATGCACACCATTTCCTCCTCGACTGCCATTTATATGCATACCAGAGAGAAGTTCTAATAAACAATCTTAGATGACTCCCTGATGACCTTATAATGAATTTTAAGTTACTGACAATCTGGTAGTCAGAACCTCTCGTATTAACAAAATGTCAAGAAATTTAAACGAGTATTCGAATTATTTAAAAAGTCAGAGATTTCTTGTCATATACATGTACACGTAATACTAATGCAGTGTATTTGCAGTTCATTCACATCATCACCATTTCTAGGTTGGTTCCCTCCGTAAAATAGCCAGTATGCCTTCGGAATATACAAATATTAACAATTATTGTCAAGAATTTCAATAACGGCCGGGTACCAGTCTACACCATTTCCAATTGTATAGCAATTATATTTGTCATCCTTTCTCACTAGCTCGAAATTGAGTATTGTATATTTTGAAATATTGAATGCTCATATTGACATTATGTTGTTACATACTGCAGTTCGGAGCCGACTTCATAAGTATGATTTGCTGGTGTTAAAAATCTATTTCACTTTGAGTAAATAAAATATGTTTAATTAAACTTGCCTGATAGAAACACACACAGAATTATCACAAAACAAGAATTATAACGAACATTCATGACCATCCTTATCAATCCAATTTTAAGTACACAACAATTTATCAGTACTGTTGTTCTGATATATATATAAATAAAGACATATCAAATTTTCTTATTCTTACAGGATGTCAACTTTTTCTGCAAAATTTTGTAACTTTTAACCAAATAGAATGTACATTAATTAGGATATTTTCGAATATTTACACAATAGCGTGTCTTGTTATATGTACCATCTAAGCATCCCACTATGAAGTGTTACCATTAGAGTAACACTAATCGGAGTAAATTAAATCGGGGTTCAAAATAATTAACCCCCAGTTAAAAAAAAATGATGAGTCACTTATAGTGGCTGAATAGTTGAAAAAAACTATCCATATTGTATCTTATCAATGGCATTATGCAAACGTACTTTCAATAACAATATAAAAATTAGAAGATGTGGTAAGATTGCCAATGAGACAACTCTCCACCAGAGACCAAATGGCATAGAAATTTACAACAATAGGTCAGCATACGGCCTTCAAGAATGCGCAAAACCCATACCGCATAGCCAGCTATAAAAGGCTCCTAAATGACAAATGTAAGATAATACAAACAAGTAAACTAACGGCGTGATTTATTTACAAAACAATGACCGAAAAACAAATTTGATATACAGCAACAAACGACAAATTAATACTGAATTACAGGCTCTTGACTTGGTCAGGCACATACAGACTTTATTGATTGATTGATTGTTGTTGCTTCACACCACTTTTAGCACTCTTGGCTACATAATGGCGGTCGATTTTTATTGGTGGAGGAAGCCGTAGTGCCCGGAGAGAATCATCAACATTCGACAAGAAACTGGCAATTTTAGACCATTAAAATTAGAGCCGAACGCACCTGCTACGAGCGGGGTTTGAAATCACCTCAGAGTTCATAGACTATAGAGATCACACTGAAGATTTTAATTTACTATTAATCACCCAAATCAAACATTAGATATGTTTATATATGCTGACCATTGGAACTTGAATTATGATGCCTAGTTTTCTATAATTTAAACTATATGCAGACATGTATCATTTTTATTACAACAGCAGGTTAAATAATTTCAATGGTAAATTCGGTATACTATATAACAACAACATTTTTTCGAATTTCTAATATTTCGTTGACTTTGATCTTGTTCTGGATATACGTCTAAGACAGAGGTGAAAAGGTCAATTATATCTATTTACGGAATTCATTGCACAATACCATACATGATGTTTACTTCATTCATTCAATTGTCACGCACAGAGGAAACCCGTAAAATGTTAGGGAATTTGTTATCTTAATTGACGCACAGAATAAACAATTTGATTTAAATGAATGATTTTATACCAATATAAAGAAGAGACACAACAGTAAGAATATACCATGTTGTTATTTTTCGAGATCTAAAATTATTTATGAAGTAAATACAGGTGCGGAACTGCAATTTAAAAAAAAGGGGGGGGGGGGGTGCTGGAAAGCCAACGTTTGCAGTGACACTTGGAAAAAATCTATGCATTTATCAAACATGAAGCTCCATAAAAGGAGACACGCCCCGGCCCCCTCCCTAAACCCACCTGTGAAATGTGGTAATATAGGCAGTCACGTTCGTCGGAATGGATACGATTGATCCTTCTAGGGATAGTGCTTTGCTCTTTGCGCTTTGAAATATTAGAACAAAATCAATTATACGGACATATATATTTTTGTCTGTCATAGTTTTGTCTGTCATTCTGAGAAAAGGTTGTTTTGTTCCTCGGTATGTTCTTTCATGAACTCATTTTTTTTTCTATTTCGGAAAAACTTTAAAATGTGAATTGAATGGTGATGCTAGACATTAGCTTAACAAGTGAAAAAAATATAAATATATCTTGTTAAATCACCAATAAAATATTTTATCTCAACAAAATTTGTAACTAAAAAGCAAACAAGATAGCCACATAAAACAGTTATTTTTTGGTCCTCAATGCTCTTCAACTTCGTACTTTATTTGTCCTTTTAACTTTTTTGATTTGAGCATCGCTGATGAGCAATTTGTAGACGAAGCGCTCGTCTTGCATACAAAATTACATTTGTCACATGCTGAAGCTCACGTTTCTATTGTTTCTTAGCCTAGTACAAATAAATCTGATATTTAAACACTAAACACATTTACACTTCTTGTCTATATTTGTGCAATGCATGGAAAGCTGACTGTAATAAAACTGTAAATAAAGATCATAAAAATATAGCTTCTCTATAGGCTTGTACAAACATTGCACAATGCCATGTATCTCTGTACTTGTGGCATTTTAGTGGCGTTGGTTCAGCTGTGAAGGACAGTCACGAACATTGAAGTATGCAACTGTTAGTTTTCATGTCGGCTGGTTTTGTATTTTGAGCTTGATTTAAGTGACTGAATAAGAGCCTGAGCTATTGTAAAGACACCTGCCTATAGTTGTCGATTGTATGTTCATCTTAAGATGTTTTAGGCTATTTATGCCGTTTAGTTGCTGTGTAATTGATGTACACCCCACTTCTCCTTTTATTCATATAAACGAATAAATATCAGTTTGAGTTTTAAGGTTATTTGTTATATCATTAGAGCTTTAAGGTTGTTTGGTATATCATTAGAGTTTTAAGGTTGTTTGGTATATCATTAGAGTTTTAAGGTTGTTTGGTATATCATTAGAGTTTTAAGGTTGTTTGGTATATCATTAGAGTTTTAAGGTTGCTTGGTATATCATTAGAGTTTTAAGGTTGTTTGGTATACCGTTAGAGTTTTAAGGTTGTTTGGTATATCATTAGAGTTTTAAGGTTGTTTGGTATATCATTAGAGTTTTAAGGTTGTTTGGTATATCATTAGAGTTTTAAGGTTGCTTGGTATATCATTAAAGTTTTAAGGTTGTTTTGTATACCGTTAGAGTTTTAAGGTTGTTAGGTATATCAATAGAGTTTTAAGGTTGTTTGGTATACCATAAGGGTTTTAAGGTTGTTGGGTATATCAATAGAGTTTTAAGGTTGTTTGGTATATCATTAGAGTTTTAAGGTTATTTGGTATATCATTAGAGTTTTAAGGTTGTTTGGTATTTCATTATAGATTTAAGGTTGTTTGGTATATCATTAGAGTTATAAGGTTGTTTGGTATATCATTAGAGTTTTAAGGTTGCTTGGTATATCATTAGAGTTTTAAGGTTGTTTGGTATACCGTTAGAGTTTTAAGGTTGTTTGGTATATCATTAGAGTTTTAAGGTTGTTTGGTATATCATTAGAGTTTTAAGGTTGTTTGGTATATCATTAGAGTTTTAAGGTTGCTTGGTATATCATTAAAGTTTTAAGGTTGTTTTGTATACCGTTAGAGTTTTAAGGTTGTTAGGTATATCAATAGAGTTTTAAGGTTGTTTGGTATACCATAAGGGTTTTAAGGTTGTTGGGTATATCAATAGAGTTTTAAGGTTGTTTGGTATATCATTAGAGTTTTAAGGTTATTTGGTATATCATTAGAGTTTTAAGGTTGTTTGGTATTTCATTATAGATTTAAGGTTGTTTGGTATATCATTAGAGTTATAAGGTTGTTAGGTATATCATTAGATTTTTAAGGTTGCTTGGTATATCATTAGAGTTTTAAGGTTGTTTGGTATATCATTATAGAGATTTAAGGTTGTTTGGTATATCATTTGAGCTTTAAGGTGGTTGTTTGGGATATCATAAGAGTTTTAAGGTTGTTTGGTATATCATTAAAGTTTTAAGGTTGTTTGGTATATCATTAGAGTTTTAAGGTTGTTTGGTATATCATTAGAGTTTTAAGGTTGTTTGGTATTTCATTATAGATTTAAGGTGTTTGGTATATCATTAGAGTTATAAGGTTGTTAGGTATATCATTAGATTTTTAAGGTTGCTTGGTATATCATTAGAGTTTTAAGGTTGTTTGGTATATCATTATAGAGATTTAAGGTTGTTTGGTATATCATTAGAGCTTTAATGTGGTTGTTTGAGATATCATAAGAGTTTTAAGGTTGTTTGGTATATCATTAAAGTTTTAAGGTTGTTTGGTATAGCATAAGAGTTTTAAGGTTGTTTGATATATCATTAGAGTTTTAAGGTTGTTTGGTTTATCATTAGGGTTTTAAGGTTGTTTGGTATATCATTAGAGTTTTAAGGTTGTTTGAACGCTGTGATACTTATCATATACTAATCAGTACAGTGAGCAAGATATTGTGAATGTTTAATACAAAATTGATCGGACAGAATGTGTTCTGATAACATCGAACACTTGAAGTAAATGTTTGCGGTCTTGTGGAACTTCTTTTAGGCTAGTACCCATCATGTGTCAGTCCCTTTAATGGTAAAGTCTACTTTCGCTGTTCCTAAGGAATTCACAGCATAACAGTGGTAATGGCCGTCATTTTCTTTATTATAATTAGAAATCACCAATGTATTGTTGTTCTCTTTTCCAAAATTAGTTGGAAAAGGGTTTGTATGCTGTAAAACAAATTGAAAAAGAATAAATACGCTTTTAGGTCATAGTTCATATTCAGCGCTTTCGCTCCATTTTGTTCGTCAAGGTTTTTGATAGAAAAATGCTGAAGACAATTACAAAAATGTTCCAAATATAACGCAGCCCTGTGCTCGCCTCGAGTGTCGGATGTCGTATGTTCAATCCAAGACCGGGTCAAACCCGGTATGCACCGCTTCTTATTATAAGGGATTATAGAAAAGACTTGTCGGCTCGGAGTCAGAATGGTGTGTCCGGGTAGTCCGTCGGACTGTTGCCTTCATGACTAGCAACTTAAAAATACAGCGCAGCGTGTCGGTCTAGTACAAAGCAGGGTTTCAATAATCATATTGCCTTAAAATATTTTTGTGCTCATATGCATGTTATATTTTCCACTGAACGTTAAATACCAATCCACCAAACCCCGTGTATTTAGGAATAAAACTTCAAGAACAACGAAAAAAGCACCATTTTGATAACTTGGCTTATATTTAAATGTTCTTGAGTCATACCTCTAAAGATATTTGGCTACAAGATGGCATGTGAATGATGTAGATGTGGGTAAAACATTTACCATATTGATTCCGTGAAGGATTTGTCATGTTTTGATTTCCCAAAAATATGTGTTAAATGATACATTAATGACAGCAAAAATAGCTTTTGGTTAAAATCGTTTTTGATGTGGTTTGGTTGATGTTTTAATGGCGTATACCCATACCCCCTTTTATTCACAGTTCAGTAATAGATTAACGAAACTAAAAGCAATATCAACCAAATTTGAAGAATTGTAGTATAATTAGATATAAGAAGATGTGGTATGAGTGCCAATGAGACAACTCTCCATCCAAGTCAAAATTTATAAAAGTAAACCATTATAGGTCACAGTACGGTCTTCAATAACTGTTTTGCAATTTATTTGGCCAACTATCTGCTTTTATCTTTCCAATTTGTGTGTGCCACTATCATAAATACCCCCTTTTTCAGTGGCGGGTTTAAACATATTCTGGAGTACCAACCCAAAACTTCCTTTTTATTTTAATGTTTGATTAGTTCTGAATTGAATATGAACTAAATAATTACAATTGGATTAACAAATCTTAATTAGAATTCGACGTAATTTGTAGTTCCATGCAGCAGACATTTTTATAAAATCTTTCTTGTACGAATTTCACACCAACATAAAATCAAAACAAAGCTTCGGTATTAGGCAGATATAGTACACGTCACGTTTGGTTTGATCTATCTTTTTTTTGTCCGATTTACTGTAATTTTCCATACTTTGATTTTCGAAACCCAAAAGGTTGACTAGAGTATCAACATTAGGTTATCTCATGGGTCTTCTCCGGGCGTCTTTCGCAGTCACGTCCGGTCAAATTTGGAACGCTAAATTAGATGCCTCGTGTAGAGAGAATAGCACACTCTTTCCACGTTAAGAACCCTTGTTACAACTTTTTTAATTTTTAAAAGGGCCTGTTGCAAGGCTTAATTTCTATCTGTATCCAATAGACCTATTTTCCAGAGGGAATCAAAATTTCCCGCTAATCATCCCGGTTGACCCCCTTTTGCAGGACATACTTATTGTATGTATTGTTAATCTATTCTCGACCTGAACATGCACGAAACATTTGCCACTGGTCGTAAGGCTAACAACAGTTAGTCGATCAGTCGATATTCTGGTATTCCTTACCTGCTATTTGCCAATGGTGATTAAAAAATCAAGCCTTCCTTTAGTTTTTTTTAGAATTTGTTTATCTCCTGATTAATTGAGGTGTACTCGATATTACCTTTTATTGATATTCGCTTTTTTTCGTAGTGCTGCTGTTGAAAAAAAAATGCTTCAATGAGCTTTTTTGGTTGTCAAGGTCAAACTTATGACGAATAGTATACATTATCTGTACACAAGCCGTCAGTGGCCCAATGTTGTATATACTGGTCAGTAAATTCTATATGGGACGAGAGCGGGTAATGTTTAGGACGATATATGTTGTTAAACATGTGTATTACATATAACTAACTTCTAGATGATTTGGTCTCTGGTGGAGAGTTGTCCCATTGGCAATCATACCACATCTTCTGATTTTTAAATGATCAGTAAGCCAGGTCACAGAATCAATGAAATCTATAGACGATAGGATATTATTAAATGTGCGGATACCTTGAACTCATATCCAATGGTGGGTTCCGGATATCCAGTGACTATACACGTTATCCGTACGTCTGTATGGTACTTGACTTGTATATGCTGATTGGAGGTTGGATTTACGATAATTGGTTTTGCTATATTAATGTTAAATTAAAATAAAAAGTATTAAGGATGTTCACTACACTTGTTTTTGATTATTTTGTCTGCTATTCGGATTCCTCTAGTTTTATCTATGAAGTACCAAAAAATTTTTAACAGTCTTTTAAAAAATCTGTTATTTTGAAACAACAGGAGCAAACACCCTTAAAGAAAATACCAAATGTAATTATTTTTTTTTATAAATATTTGAATCAGAGAGCGAAAACGAGATTACAGATACAAATGCTCAACTTGAATAGTACATGCGCTAAAAAAGGAGCTATAGAAGAGGGGCGAAAGATACCAGAGGGACATTCAAACTCATAAATCGAAAATAAATTGACAAAGCCATGGCTAAAAAAGAAAAAGACAAACAGACAAACAATAGTACATAAAACACAACATAGAAAACTAAAGACTAAGCAACACGAACCCCACCAAAAACTGGGGGTGATCTCAGGTGCTCCGGAAGGGTAAGCAGATCCTGCTCCACATGTGACACCCGTAGTGTTGCTCATGTTAGTACAAACCCGGTAAATAGTCTAATCCGGTAGGTCACATTCGTGAACAGGGAACAGGATTGTAGCTACGACATTAGGAACATATCCGCTATCATCTGTGAAACGGATATTCCATAACGGTCTACCAACTCGTGGTGGCGTCCGTAAAATTTACGAAGGGATGATTTCAACTTCACCGTTTGGAACTCTTGGTTTAATAGCTTCCTTGTGAGCAGCAACCCTCTATCAAGGAAATCATAACTTTCTCGATTTAAAAGATTGCTAATTACTATATTAAACTTACAAGGAAGATAATACATGTACATGAAATAAATAATATTTCAATTTTCTACTTAAAACTTTTGAAAATTTAATGGCAACTATTTTTTTTTCATCACTAATCACTGAACACAAACATAAAGACACCTTAAAAAATACATTTTGTGTAGCAAGTTAAATTATTCGTACATTTGTTTATATTGCAGCATATATCTAAGTAAAGAGTCTTGAATGGAAACCTATGGATAATCGGAACACAATGCACTATACAGAAAGGGGTTATGATTGTTGAAGCGGGATGATGATTTGGTGAAATCAAAAAAGAAGGTAGCACCATGGCCAAAACGTCAAACAGACATATATTAGTTCACAAGACGATTAATAAAAAAACTGAAGATTCAACACAGCAAAACCCGCAAAAATGAAACGTTTCTGCTGGTTGATTTTGAAGAATTGTAGTATAATTACTGTTTTGATATTTTATTTTGCTAAATATTTGCTTTAATCATATATCTTTTTTTCGTGCCACTATTTTTAATTACCCCTTGTTGCAGTGGCGGGTTAAAATACTCTGCTAATCATCCGGGACCCCTTATTGTTTTAATGTTTAATTCGTTCAAAATGAATATGAACAAAGCCCTGTTCTTTTGCTTTTTGTGTATTTTTTGCTGTGGACGTTCTGATTTTGTGTCATGAATGGATACTCCATATCCTTTGTTTTTTCTATTTAAATACCAGCAACCTTATATGAGGGTCTTGAAAGGGGGTGGTTCCTTCGTTTCTGTATTCTTTATTTTTTACGCCATTTTTATCTATTCTTTATACTTTTTGCCTATTATTCTTTATTCTTTATTATTTTGGTCTATTTTCCTCTATTCTTTATATTTTTTGTCCGTTATTCTCTATTCTGTTAACACTCATATACACCCTCTTTTATTATGTAAACGATCATTAACTAAGCAAACACCAATCTTTCAATCAATCTATATTCTAGTGTCCTGTACCTGCTGATTGAGGATTTGCCAATGCTGATAACAAAAATACTTTTTTTTAAATACACATGGATAATCGGAACACAATGCAACATGCCGGAAAGGGTTATGATTGAGGAGATGAACATTTAATTACATCGAAAAGGGAAGGCCGCACCATGACCAAAAGGCCAAATAGTCTTACATTATTCCACAATCTGGAAACTTGTCTCGGTGGCAAACATACCACATTTTTTTTATTTTCATAAAATCGTGATATTAATTCAGATTCTAACAAACTATCTTACATGGAATGTGTCTGTTACAAAGTTGATTGTTACAGCAATAGGAATTTGCCGATTTCTGACACGCCTAGAAAAAAGTATCAAAGAGTTGTACATATAGGTTAATTTACGATAAATTGTTATTTCAGTATATGCCAGTATATAAAATATCATTATGATTAAAAACAAGTAATATCTGTAAAAAAAGATATCTAACGCATTCAGATGTGAGCATCGAGTTTAAAACAAACCATGAATCTTTATTAGTTTTTTTTATCATAGCTAAAAAGTCATAGTATATTCGCTTTTCTCTAAAGAATTAAAATAAATACTGCATGATACTTAACTAAATGTATATTCATATATAAATAAGTATTTTCCAGAGATAAATAAGTATATATAGCTGTGAAATAGACACAAACATAAGATAGTAGGTTACAATCTGTAATGATTAACAAACTTGAAACAGTTTAGCACCATGCAAAAATGTCAATTATAACTATATGTCCAGCTCAACATTAACAGTCAGATATACAACCTATTTCGGTGAGTATATCGGGGACGAACGGACGTCAAAGAGAGATGATCTATTTAATACAGCTTTTTACAAGTAATTAAATTTACGGTATATGAGTTTGACATTCTTTTTCAAGTATAATATTTTTTCAATCTTGCAAAATATTTACGCATTATTGTAACATAAAAATAAGAAGATGTGGTATGATTGTCAATGAGACAAATCTCCACAAGAGACCAAATGACACAGAAATTAACAACTATAGGTCACCGAACGGCCTTACTTCACATATAAACAAGAGCCACTCTAAAAAGAGTTATGAGAGACTATACAATGATTATATATATATATATATGTACACACTAAAATTAAAACATGAAAAATAATAAAAATATACATTTTAAGAATATAATAAACATTTTCTTTTCAATAAAATATCAAAGCATCTTTTGGCAGTGTAAAAGTAAACATTTTCATCACTAAATAAAAATACAATTTTTTTTGTAACCTGTCATACTATAAAATCAAATCTATATTACTCGCATGGTCGTATATATAAGTATAACGAAATCAGAGATATATATCTAAATTAGATTGAATATTTTGTACTCTTTAAGATTATTATTACACCTTGTAAGTTTCAGACTGCACGTGCAAGTACACAAAGTCAATAAGATATATTTATAGCACTCGAGCTATTAATAGCCTAATTGACCTGGTAGATCTAATGAACCTGTCAATGATATTTACCTACTCATGTATTAAAGCCTAAGCATACAAGATCCAAACAATTTGACAGTGGTGATAATGACACCTCCTTTACCTGAATTTATTTTTATTTATCTGGATAATTTCATTTCTAAGTTTGATTTGATGTCCGTATTGTTTTCCTTTTATTGTAGCAGATATCTTTCTCTGTGGGTTTTTGTTCACTTCCGTAATTTCGTCCAAACAGAGTAAAGGCTTGTGACATCATGCATGCTGTTATCATAGTTAAGCATCCTTTAAAATAGGTCGCAAACCGAAATTATGACTGACTGTGTCAGTAAAAACATCTTAAAATATTCGGCTTTGAGCATTATTGATGAAGGGTTATCAGGTAAGGCGCTTCGGAAGCATAAAACTAATGACGTGTTGTAAAAATATACATTTTAAGAATATAATAAACATTTTCTTTTCAATAAAATATCAAAGCATCTTTTGGCAGTGTAAAAGTAAACATTTTCTTCACTAAATAAAAATACAATTTTTTTTGTAACCTGTCATACTATAAAATCAAATCTATATTACTCGCATGGTCGTATATATAAGTATAACGAAATCAGAGATATATATCTAAATTAGATTGAATATTTTGTACTCTTTAAGATTATTATTACACCTTGTAAGTTTCAGACTGCACGTGCAAGTACACAAAGTCAATAAGATATATTTATAGCACTCGAGCTATTAATAGCCTAATTGACCTGGTAGATCTAATGAACCTGTCAATGATATTTACCTGCTCATGTATTAAAGCCTAAGCATACAAGATCCAAACAATTTGACAGTGGTGATAATGACACCTCCTTTACCTGAATTTATTTTTATTTATCTGGATAATTTCATTTCTAAGTTTGATTTGATGTCCGTATTGTTTTCCTTTTATTGTAGCAGATATCTTTCTCTGTGGGTTTTTGTTCACTTCCGTAATTTCGTCCAAACAGAGTAAAGGCTTGTGACATCATGCATGCTGTTATCATAGTTAAGCATCCTTTAAAATAGGTCGCAAACCGAAATTATGACTGACTGTGTCAGTAAAAACATCTTAAAATATTCGGCTTTGAGCATTATTGATGAAGGGTTATCAGGTAAGGCGCTTCGGAAGCATAAAACTAATGACGTGTTGTTTTCATTTTTTTTTTGGCAACCATGTGAATGTTTAATCGGCACCTCATTTGAATACTAGAAATTATAACTTATTTACGTTACAAAAGAACTACGTAAAGACTAATGAATTCATAAAACGTGAAGTTTTGAAAAAAGGTAAATGACTATTAGTTTTTCTTCTTCTTCCTAAGATGACTCAAAATAAGAATACCCCCATGAAGAATTAACTAACACTAAGAAATTCACGTTTTTAACAATGATTTCACAGGTATTTTATATGTGCATAACGGCCTCTGACGTCATCCTCTGTTCAAATACTTCCACATGATTAACGTTATATCCAATCGATATAAAAAAAGTCAACACATAACACGTTGACTCCAAACTTAATAGTTCTTTCAAAGTATTTGTTTTTGAGGACGAAGTTATATTTCGTAATATGTGCGATATATGTACAGTATTTGACATTCTGTAGTTCACACATTTCGCACAAATGACGCAATATAACGTCGTTTTCAAAAACAAATACTTTGAAAGAACTAGTAAGTTTGGAGTCCACCGTGTAAATTATGTGTTGACATTTTTTTTTATGTCGATTGGATATAAGGTAAATCATGCGGAAGTATTTGAACAGAGTATGACGTCAGAGGCTGTTATACACATATAAGTAACCTGTGCAATCATTCTTAAAAACGTGAATTTCTTAATGTTAGTTAATTCTTGTTAATTCTAATTTGGAGTCAACCGTGTTGTGTGTTGACATTTTTTTATATCGTAATATTACCGACTTTTGACTCCGGATTATATAATTTTGCGACAGGTTGCCTAATCTGTGGTAGGACATCCTGGTATTCGGTCAGGTAAGAGCAACCAAAAGAAGTAAAAGCAAACATATAATTGGTGCAATTTGGGGAAAGTTAACTGTTTCCCGATGATTTTGTTGTGTATAAAAACATAAAACAGTAAAATTCCTCCTCTTAATTGTACCGATTGTAAGCTTGAATTTACCTGACCGAGTACCAGGATGTCCAACATTAGAGAAGGTAACCTGTCGAAAAAATATAATAAACTCCGGAATCAAAAGTCGGTAATATGAAAAAAAGTCTATTGGTATAATATCCATATTACGGCTAAGATAATTTCAATAAATGATATATTTCTGTAAAACGGTTGAGTTGTGAACCTAAGAAATACAATGATGCTAGAAAATGTCAAACGATCACAATGACCTTGTGAGTCATGCAATGCAGGGATCCAGATTACACATAAAACGCGTAATTGACGTAGACAAACCAGCGTAGAGTAAAATATGTTTCTGCTTATGGAAATTATTTTTTAGGTATAAAGATTTCATACTTGTACATTATTTCGACCCCTCTGAACATACATGCCTACTCTCATGTTTTATTTATTTTTTTTCACAAATTATACAGAGCACGTCTACTATTTTTAAATTTATGACTTAAATTCTTTTTAAAATTAAGAGATTTGTTCTCTTAATTATCTGTGTAAATATTTTTTTTATATGATAAGGGGTGTTCCTTAGAAAGGAAGCTCATACAAAAGAAAGAAAGAAATGATATAAATGAAACGTATTCAAGGTAACGATTTCATCTATATAAATGATTTCTGTACATTTTCAGTATTAATAGAATATAATGTATATAAGACGCATATTTCGGTAAGGTATTTTAGTTCATTTATATGTTTTGGAGTTTAGTGTGACGTCCAATTTTACTGAACTAGTACACAATTTTATTTAGGGGCCAGCTGAGGACCACCTCTGGGTGCGGGATTTTCTCGCTGCGTTGAAGACCCATTGGTGGCCTTCGGCTGTTGTCTGCTCTTTGGTCGGTTTGTTGTCTCTTTGACATATTCCCCATTTCCATTCTCAACTTTAATTTTTCAAAAAGACCAACACTAACCTTGTTGGCTGAACAGCCCATTTTATATCTCTTCTCATTAAGTAAATTTCTGGTTGTATTGATCGAACATTGCTAGAAACATCAAAACATTGATGACATACAACAAGTAGTAAACACATAAACAATGTGTCATATCATAAATAAATAATCATAAATAGTTGGCGTCAAAGCTAAAACTTAAGAAATCGGGCTTGTTACGTTTTGCTATGTACTTGGAATTTTTAATAACAGCAAAGACAAAATGGCTAGGAATAGTCCGGTTTAGATGACATAGCTTACCGTAACGGTTAGATGAGTAACATGACGGGTGCCACATGTGGAGCAGGATCTGCCTACCCTTCCGAAGCACCTGAGATCGCCTCGGGTTTTGATTGGGTTCCTGTTGCTCAGTCTTTTGTTTGTTATATGTTGTGTTTTCTATACTGGAGTTTGTCTTTTGGTCTTTTTCTTTCTTGCCATGGCGTTCTCAGTTTATTTTCGATTTATTAGTTTGAATGTCCGTTTGCTTTCACCTTTTAGACAAGCATTTCAAATAGCGGGTACTTGCTATCAAACGTATAGGTAACTTTTCATTAAAATAAATCTCTAAGACTATCGTTACCAAGGATCAAGGTCATCGCTTATAAAATTAAAATATATTTATATGTAGTTAAGGTAGATGGGGTGTCTAAATTATAATCCATAGAATTTTTTAATAATTTGCCAAAATGTAGTTTATATCATGCTTTTTTGAAAAAAATAATAAAAAGAATGGGTCACGGGGCTTATTTTCACGCTAC